ATATATATATATATATATATATATATATATATATATATAAATGATAGTTCTTATTGAGTCCTCAACCAAAATGTATAAAAACATTTTTGACTCACTTAATGCCTTGTGTCCTGCAGCTTGATGAGGAGGCCAACATTAATAGCATAGATGACTATGTTGAGCTTCTGTATGAGGACATCCCTGAGAAGATCAGAGGAGCTACACTCATCCTCCATTTGGCCCGTAACCCTGACAACCTGGAGGAGTTGCTGCAGAACGGTGTGTTGCACACTGGAGCTCATGGCTAAAATGTCAAAGAGTCATTTTTAAGCAGTTTAGGATTTTATCTTTAAACCTTCCACATAAAGCCTTACTTTAAATACATTTACATTACCATATAACAAAGCTTTGGTTTGCTCCTCATGTATGATTAAAAGGATAGTGCCCCTAAAAAATTAAAATTCTGTCATCATTTACACACCCTCATGTTGTTCCAAACCTATATGACTTACTTTCTTCTGTGAAACAACAGAAGGTATTTTGAAAAAATGTCTTAGTGTTTTTTTGTCTGTGCAATAAAGGTCAGTGGGCTCCAATGTTGGACCCTGACGTTTTACAAAATATCTTCTTCTGGGTTTGAAAACAAGAAGGAAAGTCCTAGAGGTTTGGAACAAACTGAGGGTGTGTAAATAATGACAGATTTTTCATTTTTGGGTGAAATATCACCAAATTTTGTAGGATGCCATATTTAGGACATTATTATAATCTCTTGCAGTCATTCTCATTCCATTATTTTATGTACCTTATTCATTCTTTCATAAGAAAATGATCTTGAAGCCCCAATGTTTCTGCCCTTACCCTTATGAAAAAGGGCTTGTCATATTAGCACAAAGACTTTATACACTACTATTCAAAATCGGTCAGTAATATTAATTTAAAAAAAAAAAATAATAATAATTTTATCCAGCAAGGATGCATTAAATTGATCAAAAGTGGCAGTTACATAAAACTTCTATTTCAAATTAATTCTGTTCTTTTGAATCTTTGACTCTGTTCTTTTGGGTTTCTACAAAAATATTAAGCAGCACAACATTTATGATAATAATAAGAAATGTTTCTTGAGCACCAAATCAACATATTAGAGTGATTTCTAAAGGATCATGTGACACTGAAGACTGGAGTAATGGGTGCTGAAAATTCAGTTTTGCTGTCACAGAAATAAATTACACTTTAAAATATATTGAAATAAAAAAGTTATTTTAAATTGTAATAATATTTTACAATATTACTGTTTTTGATCAAATAAATGCAGCCTTAAGGCCAATTCACACCGCACCGACCAACGCCAACAAACGCCGACAGGGGTAACACACTGATCCAACAAACTCCGACAGACTAGTCTGTTGGCGTTTGTCGGTGCGGTGTGAATTGGCCTTTTGAAAGAGACTTCTTTCAAAAGTTCATTTTTTCACTAAACTTAATGCCACTAATAGTAAACATTAGTAAAATAAAACCGAGTATGGGGATCCATTCATAAAAAAGTAAGTCTCTTCCATTTACACTCTCCCTTGTCCGATCTCTTTCCTATTTTCTTTTGACTATTTGCCTTTTAGCATCTACCATAGTGTCATTTGATTTTTACCCACAATGCATTTTCTCCTTTGCAAATGTGTTCTTTCTTTTCCCATTAGCCCGTATCCTAACATATTCTCCGTATTCACAAGTTCTTCACAAGCAGCCACATATTTCAAACCGTTGCCATTTTGTATTCACAACGTGAGTTCTTTTCATGAGCAATGAAAGCATTTAGTGTTTTGTCTGCTCTCCCACAGAGACTGCTCTGGGCGCACTGGCCCGGGTCCTGAGGGAAGACTGGAAGCAGAGTGTCGATTTGGCAACCACCATCATCTACGTCTTCTTCTGCTTCTCCAGGTAAACGGGCTACACATCTGCATGCTCTAGCCAAGACTCACTCTTCAGTTTGATGGGTGTTGTGCACGGAGCTGAGACACAACAATGGCGATGTGCCATGAGGAGAATATATTTTCTTGCATGAGAATCATAATATTAAATACCCCTATCATAATACAACACATCAGCTGCTGTCAGGACTCATATGAGAAGCCAGGCTGTAGGTAAATGTGAAAGCTAGAATCATTCTTGAATCTCTGCCCTTCCGATGTTAT